CCTGGGCAGGAGCTCCTCTGGCTGGTGCGTCCTTTGCTTCTCGCCCAGCGTTGCACCAGCAGCGCGGCTCTGAGATGGCCCCGGCACGTTGTCCTCCTGCAGTGCCCGTCTCTTCCCTGCGATCCTGCAGGAGCCGGGGCTGAGAGCAGCTCTGCATTCCCCTCCTCGGTCTCGTGGTGATCTCTGGAGTCCTTGAAAAAAATAAGAGAACTCGGTTTTGAACGCGAGGTCTGCTCATCCCTCCTGGAGGAGGAGCAAAGTCCAAGGGAGATGCAATGTTTAGGGGAACAGAGCTGGGCCGGTGCTCTCTGGGGCTGAATGGTTCTACCTGGGACCAGCTTCTCCCCCTGAGAAATGGGAGATGGTCACTGCTCGAAGCAGCGTTATCCTGATTGCCACCGAGATGGGAGCATCCGTTGCCACCTCCTGTTGCAAAGCACGGGGCGAATTCCAGCCGTGCTCACGGGAAGGCCCTCGATGCCGCTGGAGGGGGTCTGGAGAGATCAGAAACAGCCTTGGGCATGGCTGCTCCTTGGACCCTTCCTCAGGGTCCCTGTGCGGAGCTCCAGGCCGGGGTGGGACGTGATGGGCCGAGGATGTTTCCCCAGTGCTCACAGGGTGGGCGACGGCTCGTGTTCAGCGTGGGCCGAGTGTCTCAGCTGCTTCTGTGCGTGGGGTGGAGGATGCTGCTCGAGTCTCTCTTGCCCTTCAAGCTCAGGATGGAGATGAGCACGTACCCCCTCTGCATCGAAGTGCCCTGGATGCTGCTGGCTCCCTGCCCCCTCCAACCCCCTCCCTGCATCCCCGGCGCGGTGCAAAGCCCGCAGGAGTGCCAGGAGCGGGCCGTGGCCACGGGGGCTGTGCAAGGTCAGCGCCTGCCCGGCACAGGCTGGCTTTGCTCCTTCCTTCCTCCCCTGGATTCCTAAGGCTTTCCCAGACCAATGCTTTTTGTTTTCCCTGGCTGCAGGGGTGGTGCAGCACGGCATGCTCGTGCCTCAGTTTCCCCTGGCTGTACTTCGTGCCGCCTCCTGCCAGGCACGGCTCTCGCAGGCGTCGCCTGCGCTGCCCTCCTGTCCCCGGGCCATGGAGGTGCTTTGGGGCTGGAGGGAGCAGGAGCACGGCACCGCTGGGATAGGGGACATGGCGGTTGAGCCTGGGGAAGTGGCAACTTCCCGTTGATTCAACACCAAGCCCAGATCAAAGCAGCCAAGCTCAGGAAGCGTTAACGAACCTGCCTCATCACTGGCCTGCATTTTTCTACCGGTTTGTCCAGGGTGGCCCAGGCTGTCGCGGTCCTCCCGGGTCTCCACGTAGCGCACAGCAGCTTTCAGCGCTGCATGGAGGAGCCACGCGTCCCTCCACTGCTCTCTGCCCTGACACGGCGATGGCCAGCGCGGCTCCGGTGCCTTCCAGCTGCCCTCGGTGATCCTGGGGAGCTGCTCTGCCTGCAAGGGCTTTGGCAAGGGGGTGGCTACGTTGTCGGAGGCTTTGCGTCCCAGCCCATGCAAGGGAGGCAAGTCCCCGGGAGCCAGATTGGGTTACCCAGGACGTGGACCAACATCCTCGGAGGACGGTGGCGACCGAGGCTTGAACGAGTGTCGCTGTGTCTTGCTGCGAAACCCGGGCAAATCCTGCAGGGTGCTTTGCAGCCCTGGTGACGAGCGCAGCGGTGGGGCGTACCCGGTGGTCCCTTGCTGGTGTCGCTGCTCTGGGGGTCTCCCCAGCGTGATCGTGGGACGGTTGTGGTCTCAGCCCTGCTGTTTTCTGATCCTGGTGGGGAGAAGCGTCCCCCAAGCTTGGTCCCCCATGGGTCCCGAGTGAAGCGGGCTGTGTCTTGAGTACACCTGGAAAAATGAACAGAATTGGCAGCGGGGGAATTAATTAATAAATAAATAAATAAATAAATAAATAAATAACCTGTTGAGTCATAAACTCAACAAACTTGACAGGGGAGACGCGTGATAAAGCCTCCCCAGAGCCTGTTGCACCAGATTTTACAGGAACCGGCCAGATCTGGGACAGGCAGAAAATGCACTTCACTAACCCACACCCAGGGACTTCCCAGCTCATGGGCTTGACCAGTAGCAGTGGTGGAGGAGGAAGAGGATGGTTCCTTTCAGACCACGGCTTGTGTGGTCTCCTGGGTGCCCTCGGAGTTGGAGCTTGGGCTGGAAGTAGGAGATTCGGTTCTGCTTGGCCTGGCTGTCTCCGCACAGGTCCTGGCTCTGGTTTTCTGCCTGTTTCGTGTACGTGGGTGCACGTGGCACCTTCCCGTCGCCGGTGCGGGGAAGGAAACCCCTGGCAACTTCCAGGCGACGGCAGGAATTTTCTTGAGGGGTATTTACAGGTATCTGCGGTGCCTCCTCACCCGGCAGCTTCTCCCTGAACGGAGTGGAGGAGGGTGGGGATGTCCCCGGTCCCTGCCAGGCTGGGCTGTGGGGTCTGCTGGGGTGGTTGGCATCGTGGGACGCAAATGTCATTGCTGGGTGATCCAGAGGGGCTGACACCGTGTTCGTCGTCCCCCCTAGTTGTTCTCATCGGGGACTCTGGGGTGGGGAAGAGCAACCTGCTCTCACGCTTCACCCGCAATGAGTTCAACCTGGAGAGCAAGAGCACCATCGGGGTGGAGTTTGCCACGAGGAGCATCCAGGTGGACAACAAGACGGTGAAGGCTCAGATCTGGGACACGGCCGGGCAGGAGCGGTACCGGGCCATCACCTCAGCGTGAGTTTCCCTGCTCCCCACCCGTGTCCCTCGCTCGGGGCCCTGCTGTGACCCCGTCGCCTCGCTGTCCCCCAGGTACTACCGGGGGGCGGTGGGAGCTCTGCTCGTCTACGACATCGCCAAGTACCTGACGTACGAGAACGCCGAGCGCTGGCTGAAGGAGCTGCAGGACCACGCTGACGCCAACATCGTCATCATGCTGGTGGGCAACAAGAGCGACCTGCGGCACCTGCGGGCCGTGCCCACCGACGAGGCCAAGAGCTTTGCAGGTATCATCTCCCCCACCCTGCCCTGTCCCATCCCACCCCAGGGCGGCTGTAGCTCCTGGCACCCGCATGAGCTCGCACTGTCCTTGCAGAGAAGAACGGGCTGTCCTTCCTTGAGACGTCTGCTCTGGACTCCACCAACGTGGAGACAGCTTTCCACAACATCCTCTCGGGTAAGGGGCAAGCAGGAAAGGGGGGACGGAGGTGGTTTTGGTTATGGTCCTCCCAGGACCCTACTGAGGATGCTGGCTGTATGTTCTGGGGTGAGATCCTGCTCCCCTGGATGGGGAGATGTGGGCGTTTGCACCCCTTGAGCTGCGTGTTTTGGGAGGGGGCAGGTCCCCCGTTGAAATATCAACTTAAAGATTTTTTTTTCTCTTCTCTTCTCTTCTCTTCTCT